ACGAATGGCATGTGTCAACCCAGGATCCACATCTCGACGCTGCAGTGTGTCGGCATCCTTTTTGATCAGATTGCAAGGAAAAATTACACATAAGTTACCACCACCTAGGTATATTCATGAAGTGCGATCAAAATTGCAAGTCTCAAAATTTGGGGTGATTCCTACAAAGGCATGCCGTAAGTGACTGGTTAGTATTCACACAAATTCATTTCTTTCAAGCACAATGTGTAACCAATCGTGCAGCCTACTTGGTACAAATTCACCGGAGTTTTCCGCAAGCTTCTGCCGTTCTTTGTTTGGAAACGGCAGGGAAGCAGCCGTGTCGTATTCCCCCCCCCCCCCACCCCCCATCAGTCCGCGTTATGGAAAAGGGTCAATTAGGGAGAAGTGATTGATATTTACGTAAATATACCAAGGAAAACCATTGCTTTCCATTGGTCAACAACATACATATTACGGAGACTTTACCCTTACGCAATCATGCTTGATCTGATTTTCTTTATGGCTTTCACAAAAGCCTATCGCGTGTTTTTCTTATCAAGGCAGCTGATACTAGCGACGGTGACATTGAGCCGATGAAGCAACGACACTTCGGACGTCGTCATGCTACCACTTGGCAGCGGTATGTGCGTTGGCCATTTACAGATGAGAAAACTGGCAACTTTTCATGCGCATTTCGTAGACGCTCGCTCACCTCACACTTTCTCACTTAATCGGCAACTAGCCTCCGGATCGGTATTTTCAGTACGGAAAAGGGCGGCATTTAAAGCAAGCACCCCAAATGTCCATTTCTGCGTCCTTATTGAGCAGGGCAAAAGGTCGTGGTCAATCTTGCGCGTATTTTCATTTAGGCGCTTTTATCTTTTTTATATGACCTAGAATTAGGCTCAACATAGACCAAATTTGTCTTGAAATCAACAAATGGGTGGAGAAAGCTCTATTAAGTTACCTCAAAGCTTATTCATGAAGAACAAGCGTTCAAAAAGTGCGGCAAATGATCTTAACAAGGGATAAATTTGGCTAACATAGAGCAAGACTCAGCTACTCCCATCTAGCGGAGGAGTAAATATCAGAGACATCTTCGTACTATCCTGAAGTCGCTAGTTCGCCAAATAGAACACCGTGTGCGTGTGTTTTGTAGAAGGAGAATGACGAGCAAACTTTTATGTGTGTTTTCTGCGTTTCAATGGCTGGAATAATAAAATATAAATGAACGGTCGCAATATTATTGTGGACACGCCAAAAAACGACAAACCCACCATACAAAGCCTTGAACAAACGACCAAAAAGGTCATAAGCGCTAATTTTGCTGTTATGTGCGATGAACTATGCAAACCAGAAGCAAATATACATATATATGCATATGTGTATATATATATACATATATATATATATATATATATATATATATATATATATATATATATATATACGTGCACACACACACGCACACACACACACACATATATATATATATATATATATATATATATATAATGTGTGTGTGTGTATGTAAAAAGTAGCTTATATAATGGAAATTGCTTGTGGTCAAAGCTAGTCCGAATATAAAAGGATAAAATCCACAGAGTGTCTCTTATCTGCCCCTTTTGCAACGTTCACAACTCTGCCCCCCCCCCCCCCACACCCCTCCCCCATGTTTTCGATCAGGCCTGACTGCATTGGGCCGGGACGTCAGCGGCTGCTGATCCGGCCAGCCACGTGACTGCATCTTGCTTGGGGAGGTGGTCGTTCTGCCCGTCATGACATCGGGGGGGGGGGGGAGGGGGAAGAATGCGGTGTGGCAGGCGTGGCAGCTGCCACACTAACGCTTAAGGAAATCGACTTGCTTTTCCTACGTTAAAATGCACATTTTCCACATGGTTGAACGATAAAATCGGTTGTTTTGTGCGGAAGTTAACCTTTTTACTGAAGAGTTTATCAACCATTCCACTTCTCAAGACGCTCGTACCAAAACTGTTGCCCCACCAACCTTTTACACATTTTTCAGCCATGCCTGACACGCGCGATTGTTGAAAGGAACCATTCACGGTTGCGAGAGATAGGGAGCTCCGCTCGTGTGACGTGCATACCAGGGACGTAGTACCGCCACGTGAGTTGATCGGCTGAGCAGTGAAAAACAGCGCGATCTATCCCACAAAATACGCCGACAAACTTTTTTTTTCTAGACGGGAGAGGCATCTCGATGTGCTACGACGCTTGCAATGGCATCCCAACCTGCTATGCCGCTTGTAAAGGCATTCCGACCTGCTATGACGTTTGCAAAGGCATCCCAACCTGCTACGCCGCTTGTGAAGGCATCCCGACCTGCTACGACGCATGCAAAGGCACACCAATCTGCTATGCCGCTTGCAAAGGCATCCCGACCTGCTGTGCGGCTTGGAGGGGGATGGGGGGGGGGGGGGGGGGGGGGGGGGAAGGGTTGCCGCTATTGGAGAGTTGTCATGGTTCGCCTCGTGGCTGTGTCATGGTTCGCCTCGCGGCGGAAAGAACTAAACAGCTTTGTCGCACCTTGGAGAGCACGTCATGGGCTTGTTGACGCACTCAGCTGCCGAGGCGATGCGGTTTCTCCTACCTAGAAAGGGCGGACACTGCTGGGAATCGAGCTCCGTGCCTCAAGCTTCCAGAAGCGCAGCCAGACCAGTGCACTGTCAAACCCCACAAGAGGCGTGCCGGTTCTCTGCGTCACGATCTAAACTCGGTGTGCCACGATTTTGAAGAGCCGTCGCGGGCTGTCGAGCCGCTCCGGAAGGTGGCCACACTGTGCTGAGCGATATCGAAATCTGTCACTGTGCTTGTCATCAAGACCGCAAATCGCATGATTAACACCTTCTTTCCACCATTATAACTCCGCGTTCACAAGGCATGCTTCATGCGTCAATGCGTTCGTCGGAATTGGAATTCTTGGACGAGATGTCGAGCAACGGATTTTGATAAATCGAGCCGTCTTTTCAGTGCACGTGGATTTATCTCGCCCGCGACACAAATAGCCGTGGTGAAGTGCCTCACGTCGCGTCATTCGGCGTCTTGGCATCACGGTATTTCGAGACAAACTGGCTCCCATCCTGGTAGTATCATCGTGCTCGCTGGCGATATCCATATTGCAGGAAATGTTCCACGTTCGTATAGGCGGTTTCAAACTGATAGAGTCATCTTAAAGACCTTTAAGTGCAGTTCGAAGTGCAGTTAAGTGCAGTTCCCTACAGGCCAACATTGGTTGAGAGCTGATTGACGGTTGTTATATCTGGAAATAATGCCCCCGAATGCCAGATATGAACGAATAGACAATTGTGTATTTATTGGCCTTGATCGCTGCATGCGAAATACAATGCCAGGACTTGAATGACGTTATTTTGCCGTCACCGATGCCTGGGCCACCTTGAAAAAGTTTGCACAAAGTAGTGTGCTCATGTTGGGCGTGTAGCTCAGAGACTAGAGAGCTTTCATCTGAAAAAAGCGATGCCTGTGGAGTGCACGGAATGATGTTCAAAATGGCTATTTCAGTTAGAAACCTCATACAAATGTGTAGCACTCCCATAAAGGAGGTGTTGCATGCCCAACGGGCACATTCCAAGTCCAGCAGTACAATAAGCAATGGCTTGCAACATTTGATGAAGTTGACAGTGGTCTGCACCGCTGCGGATTTCGCGACGCATGAGGTTCGTGACGCATATTCGAGACGCATGAAGTTCGCGAGGCATGTTCGCGACGCATGAATGAAAATGTCGTAAGCAGCGTGCGACAAACATGACGGCACAGTGGCAGCGCAGTTCTCAGTCAGCATTGCCAGGCAAGGTCACCGAATTACTAACCATCTACGATGCAGCACAACGTCGTTTGTGACGTTGCAAGCAAAAACAAAGACCAGGTAAATCTCGAGCCAAGGAGAACATGCAACTTCCCAAATTGGTTCAGACTTGCGTCTGATTCCGAATTGCAGGGTAAGAATGCAATGCGATGCTCTTTACTCGCAATTGTCCAATACGATTGTAATTTGCAGCGTCCAGTGCTAATATCTTTGTATGTTTTACAGTTTGATGTGTGCAGTCATGGGCGCACTTTCCAGTTCTGCAAAAGTGGAGGCATGAGTCTCAACCATCACAGTGATAAGGAGGCGAAGGGTACCACTTGATCTACGATAACATTTGTTACGTACTTGAAGCGTGCTTAATGATATCTTTAATGCGTTACTCAAAGTTACCCTTCAGCATTACGTTTCAGCTTGAATCAGGTTGTGTTACACAATAACAGGTTTAGTTAGGAAATGTGATCATTTAAACCGTGACCGATTATCTAAAGTATGACTTTCAACCAACGCCGGCACACGAGCTGTGAGGTTGTGAGCACATCGATGCCAGTGACGCTGAAATCGCTGTCCAAAAGTCAGTATGAAGCCTTGAAACCCGCATAAATAGAGTACTGGAATCAGGTTTTTGCCTACGAACCAAAACGATCGTTGCCAGTCAATCATTGTGTGTGCGCGGCTATCAAAGGTCAGAATTACAGAAGGTCATGGGAAGACTTCAGATGACCTCTGATTGACTCTGCTTGAATGTCAACTCTGCAATGAATGACGTCACTCTCTGGTATGAATGACGTCACTCTCTGGTATGAATGACGTCACTCTCTGGTATGAATGACGTCACTCTCTGGTATGAATGACGGCGCGCCTTGACTTGACTTGCGTCAGCTTAACTCTGCGGTATAGATATGCATCTCTGCTCTGAACATATATGTATCTCTGCTCTGAGCATGTAGGTTACTTTGCTGACCATAGATTAAACTCTACTTAACATACATTTAACTCTGCTGAACATATATGTAACTCTGCTCAACACCTTTGTAACTCTTCTGAACGTAGATTTAATTCTGCTGAATATCCAGTGATTTCTGCTAAACGTATCTGTAATTCTGCTGAACATGAATTTAATTCTGCTGAACATACATGGAACTCTGCTGAACATATGTGTGAATCAGGTGAACATATATTTTATTCTGCTGAGCGTACATCTACAGTTGTACACGACCCTCCCCGTGTTCCGAAAAGCGAACAGCAAATAATTGGCAATGCTCGGCGCACAGTGGCGCACACAGCAGAATCCGACTGCCCAGTTTGAACACCGGCGCATCTCCCAACGATCATTTGAGGCCAGCGAGCCACAGGGATTGACTGTAGCTGCGCTGGCGAGGCTCCCATGTCAAGAATGACCATTGATCGCGGTGGTTGCCACCGTGCGCAAACCCGCGCCTCCGTCTCTCCCTGGTGATCACCAGACTGTAAACCACTTTGTCCCTATTCTTCACCCAGCCGATCATCACCACCAGCGCTGGCGCACTCGCTGCGGTGTCGCTTGTGCAGCTGATCGTCACAGGGTTCCCACCGCGCGCCCCTTTGTGTCTCAGAGGTTGAAGCTCTTCAGTCCAGCTTAGTGGCCGTTGGAGCTCTTCAGCCGAGCTCACTGACCCTTGTTCATGGTAGGGCTCCAAGCTTCTACCGGGTCGTGGTCATCTGCGTTCTCCGAGAGCTAGCCGTGTGCAAAGGCAGCAACTGAATCAGAGGAGCTGTGTAACCTGGAACGGACGTGGACATCTCAGTCAAATCATAACCTGGAACGGACGTGGACATCTCAGCCAGATCATAACCTGGAACGGACGTGGACATCTCAGTCAAATCATAACCTGGAACGGACGTGGACATCTCAGCCAAATCATAACCTGGAACGGACGTGGACATCTCAGTCAAATCATAACCTGGAACGGACGTGGACATCTCAGTCAAATCATAACCTGGAACGGACGTGGACATCTCAGCCGAATCATAACCTGGAACGGACGTGGACATCTCAGCCAGATCATAGCGCAGACCGACAAGTTTTATGCGGCCGGATCACTGCGCCGAGTTATATGGACAGTTGTAGGCAATAGCTATAGTTTATAACTGAACCAGCTGTAGATGATTGTAGGCAGCTTTTGCTGCCACAACATAGATCAGAGAATAACTTGCATGGCAGTTCAAAGAATAACCTGCATGACAACTCAGAGAATGTCTTGCATGACAGCTCAGAGAATCACTTGCATGACAACTAAGAGAAAAACTTGCATGACAACTCAGAGAATAACTTGCATGACAGCTCAGAGAATAACTTGCGTGACAACTCAGAGAATAACTCGCATGACAGCTCGGAGAATAACTTGCATGACAATTCAGAGAATAACTTGCATGACAACGCAGATAATAAGCTGCATGACAAGAGGCCATGACCACTAAACCAAACTGCAGTGTGTTTTGCAACGGGCAAAATCGCATGACAGTGCTATCTGGAACAGGTAGGATTACTCAGCCCCGGGGTTTATCACGACATGAACGATGGTGACTCTATCGAAGCCGAGTGCACTCTGGCGATGACCGCTAGCACCGTCCGGCGGAATGCACGCCGAACGCATCCTCGAAATATAGCAGTTTTGACGGAGGTAGTCAGCCAGCCGTCGCAATATACGGAGCTGCGGTTGACCGTCGTGGTAGAATCGTCAAATTAATAAATGTCAGCACTCCGAATGATGAAGGCGGCGTTGATTACATCATTTGCACAGCGTGAAAGCAGCAGAGCACATCCAAAGTTTCAGAAGCTCTTATCACTGCGACATCATTAAATCTTCATCACGAAAAGTTCTCATTACCGCGAAAACGACAACACAGGACATCACTCTAAGTCAGACACATAGTTCTTTTCTTGCTTCATTTCTGGGGCTCTCGCTGGCTTTAATGAAGTTCCCATTGTTGCCACCCAGAACGCCGACGTAGACACTTAATCATTGTGGTAAAGGGTGTACCTTGCTGACGTAAATGAAGCAGACCCACAAGGCAGCAGGCGTAAAAGTAACCAGTCGAGCGCTGGAGAGTCCGCTGTCAGCAAGCACAGATGACATGTAGAATTTGAACATTTTCACAAGACAAAAAAAGAATATTTAATTAGATTAAAATGTCTTCTTACAATAATTTCATACGCGATATTCATCAAGTAAATAATATTTTTTAATGAAATTTCGTTCATGGACGTTGCCCACAGAATCGAAAAGTGCAAATATGTGGTGCAATAGAGTACAGTGGTACTTTGTGGAACATGCACTGCAGTGGTACCATTCAAGTCTCACGTGTTCTGTCTGCTCGCGTTCCCTTCAGTCAGACCACGGCCATTCAGACCAGACACGAGCGTTGCGAGGCGGTAACTGTCTTAACACGCGAGGCGAGCAGGCGGCGCCGACCCCGCCGGGCGGCGCCCCAGGCAGTACACCGCCGGTCGGGGCAGCGGCGTGCCGAGGTACAGCGGCACTGGCGGCTCGAGCAGGAGGGGACTCAGGCGCACGCCAATAACATAACGATACAGGTACGAAGTGCAGTGGTAAGATGGTACAGTGCGTGTGCAATTTACATTGCACAAGCACTGTACTATCGTAGGAAATGACATAAAATTGAACTGGGAAGCTATTCCTGGTGAAGAACCACCATCATAAAAGAGTAGTTGTCGTCGCTGCCAAACCCACCGTTTCTGTCCCTTGACCTGTCGTTGCGGGCGCTGAACTTTCGCTTTCCACGGCACAGGAAGAGGCGGGCAAAGCCCTGCCTGAAGTTGTTGTTGAAGCCGCCGTAGAGGATGGGGTTCCAGAGCGAGTTGCTGTAGGCCATGAAGTACGCCAGGAAGTGCACGCTCTCAAACCACGACGGCTGTCGAAGCACAGAGTGTAGTTGGCGCCGGGCACAAGCTCTTCTTGGCACAAGTGCCTTATCACTGACGTCAACTTTATACCCAGGTGACAAATCTTGCTCCTAATACCGCAGTGCGGGTTTGAACACTAACGCGATCCCAGCAAAACTATTCGGGTGGATTCCCTCAGTCTCTGTCACATACCCAGATGCGCCGGGTACTTGAAAGCCCTCTACATGCGTATGCATACCTATAAATATGGGTTATAACCATGTCGCATTATGCAAGTTGTTCAGTGCATCAGTGAGTAACATTATTCACATAGATGAGACAGCAGTACTAGCCATATTCCTCGGAGAAAAACCAGGAGAATGGAGATATAGTTGGGTTGATCTTTCGGCAACATGCCTTCATCGAAACAATACCAAAAGTCACCTTTACGGTACGACGCATAACGGAAACAAGATGCGACCGAGCATGTGACGCACAGCGGAAACGGGACACAACCGAGAATGCGACGCACAGCGAAAACAGGACGCGACCGAGCATGTGACGCACAACGGAACCAGGACACGACCGAGCGTTTTCAGTGAAGGCCGAGGCGCTTTGACGCTGGGAGCTGGTTGATACCGTTTAGCGCTAGGAGTTGGTTGTTGCCGGAAGTCGGGCTGCATTCACTCCTAACAAGCTATGTGTACTTGTGGCGAAAACATGGCATCAATAAAAGACCTTTGGTGGCCCCCATACGAATGCAACGTGAGCATTGCTCTGACATAAATGGGTGCGCCCCCTATTCAGCACGAATTCAAGCGACAGCGCTGCTCTGGAGGAACATATATGGGTGCCTTCACTTAGTCTCTATTCTTATGTATAAATGCCGGCCACAAAAACTGTCCCCGGACCTTCTCATGCAACGACATCGAGCCGAGATAGCTGCTCTAAGCAAAATGCCACTATTTTCTTTAAGGTCAGTGACCTTTTTAGCGTTTAGAAACTCAAGACGATCGTAACCTACGATATTGCTTCTAATTTTCTATTTGATTAAACGTCAGAAACTACGCTAGACAAAATGTTTCAACATTAAAATGTTGACCCGGATCATTTCAGGTCATTGGTCTATTCTAACATTTAAGAAGTTCACGGAATATGCCTGTTCCGATCCCCGTTCTTCATAGATTTGAAATAACCACCAAAAACTGCCACAAAATGTAAGTTTCGAGTAAAAAAGAAATAAGTTTCGATTTCGGTCGCACCTTCATGTCTGACGCTAGAATGGGATCTGTTGCTATTCAAAACTCATTTGTTTTGTTTTCGAAGAAACTGTCTTGGAGGTGCATTGTTCCGTCTAACGCTCCGTCCTCGCATCAGATTGAGCAATTTCCCCGAAATTGTCTTCGTTGACAGCCATTGCCTGACTTTAACCTGCCATAGGTTGGCGACCTTACGAGGTACATTTAGTTATTCAGAATAAGAGCTCCGGTATTCAATTGCCTACAGTCAGGGGGACAGCTAGAGCTTTGGGAAGGGGGGGGGGTGGGCGCCGGGTTGAAAAAGGGCCCCCTGATAGTTAAAGGACCCCAACAATCACTGGATATGGCCCAGTTGTCAATGATGTCATGTTTTTCTCGCACATTTATATATATATATATATATATATATATCTCTCTCTCTATATCTCTCTCTCTCTCTCTCTCTATCTCTATCTCTTCTCTATCTCTCTCCTCTCTCTCTCTCTCTCTCTCTCTCTCTCTCTCTCTCTCTCTCTCTCTCTCTCCTCTCTCTCTCTCTCTCTCTCTCTCTCTCTCTCTCTCTCTCTCTCTCTCTCTCTCTCTCTCTCTCTCTTACTCATTTCTACCTTCCATGAATTAATTTATGGCAGATGCTACCAAGAGATCAATTTCGCTTTGGTTTATATAATTAAAAAAAATCATGCGTTAAACGAGATAGAACTCAGAAACTTGGACTTTGTATTTGGGTTGCACAGAGCTAGCAAGGATTCCGTGAATGCAGGGTAGAGATCAAAATGGATCAAAAAGTTGTTTTGACATGACCAAGCCATGTTTGTCTCGCTATGTTCAACACTCACTCAGAATTGATTATTGGTTCAAAATACATAACGTAGTTTTGAGTATGCGTGCCGCATACCTGGCAGCAAAATCTTCGACTCCAGGCGTTGCAATCTCTGAGGCGCGTGGCGTCGGCCCCGCGGCTGTATCTAGGCCGTGGCCAACAGGTGGACGAAATGATGACGCATTTGAAACAATCACCTTTGAACGCTTTTGGACACCAAACCTTACATTTAAAGATATTCCGGGCGTATATTTCACCTGTGCTGTTTTCAGAATGATGACAATAACGTCTTAATCTTACAGCACCTTGGAGTGGTGGTGTGGAATCTGGTCGTGCATGGAAGGGAAAAGTAAAATCTCCATTTTCCATGTTGCTGCAGCAGCTGTATGTCGGTCCAGAGGACAACTTTAAAGCTGCAAAAAAGGGTCTTTCCTTGTGTAATTTCTAAACTATACGAATTAATTCTTTAAACTATTCCGAAGCGTTATTTATGACGGCCATTGTGCGCGCGCGGCGCATGCTCTCTCGCATTACTTGCAGCGACCAACGCCGTCTGGTTTGCGAAGACTGTAACCCCATACGCCGCTATCCTTGCTCCCCAAGATCACAGACGTGTCATTGAGGCTTTGTGGACGCACTCAGCTGCTGGGGCTATATGGTGCCGCCAGCTCTCACGGTGGCGGGAAGGGCGGGCAGCGGGAATCGGACCCCATACCTGTGGTATCCCATTCGCATAGGGTTAACGCAGGAGCGTAACCACCACACTATCGGTACCCGGGCGTAGGCTCAAGCTTTTTGATGGCATTTGTTTCACTAGTCCATTTTGCAAAATAATGAATGTTCTCAGGGGAGCATGAGTTGGCGTTGTGCGTTTTGAACTAATTTCGAACCACTCCATTCCATCCTGATGAGACCCCTCACTTCTTTCCGGTAAAGGGGTCCCCTTAAATACAACACTATCAGGTACATTGCTGTTCACGGTCAAGGGCTGAAGGGCCATTCTGTGCCACCGCGGTGTGTCTTCCGGCCGCCATCCTGGCGACAAGGAGCGGCATCCCCTGGCGGATCCGAAAGCCCTTGGAGGGATACATCATACCACATTGGTCCGCTTCCTGACGCGGGGACTTTAACAGCACGTGACCCGGATGGGCGCGTGTACGTCATGAACCGTCATTAGGCAACAAACATTACCGCTCGCCGCAGGTGGTTCAAATGAACGCCATTTTATGGCATTCGCAAAATAATGAATGTTTTCATGGGAGCACGAGATGGCGTTCTGCGTCTTGTACTCATTTGATCAAAAATGATCGCAGGTGGTCATATAGCTCCATGGGCTTAACAGCCGCCATGCTAGAATAGGGTTGGAGGGCCCACCGCTCGGTACCAGGGGCCCTGACTTACACAGGGACTCCTTCTATGGCTCAATGTGAGCACCCATCACACGTTCTTAGTTTCCTTCAATTGCCAGAGAGCCCAGCAACGCAAAAGAACCCTCTGTCATTCGGACTTCCGCACACGTCCTGTTGATCACAATTTCCCCCGACCGATCGAGATCCCTTGCTGACACAGAATGCCCTGTTAGGCACTGTGGAGCCATGAACGATGAGGAGCACGACCAATGTAAGTCGCGGGGCCGGCCTTGTCCTACTTTGAAAAATGAGTCCTCCGCGTTCAGACCAACACAGAGCCTACTGTTTGCTGTGTCGTGATATCTGGCACCGAAATAGAGGAAGGTTTGCTCGGAGCCTCGTCGGTTGCACGAGATCAAACTTACAGACCTTTGAGATCACGGCCCTATCGGCGGGGGTTCGTAATGTGACTTATAGCCAGCCCTTCGGACTTTTCAGCTACCCATGAGCCCCTGATTTTGGTCTCGAGAGACCCTTCGCCCCCCCCCCGACCTTTGGACCCCCTCAACCACGCTCCGACTGGCGGCCACTCGCCGCCACAGGACCCCGTTAAGACACGGTGGGCTCTAACCGATAAGGAGCCTCTATATATCAGGGACCCGAGCATGGAATAGGGGACACGGCCTCGTTTTGATTGGGAAATGGGTCTATGGCTCAGACGGACGTGGAGCCAACTGTCGATTTCATGATCTCTGACGACTTCTCATTGAATGCTTTCCTTAGTCGTCTCGGGGCGTGCAAGAACATGATGAAAACTCTGTAAGGCGCGGGGGCTCTGAATAAACTAAAGGCCCCCGACTGGTGTAAATCATGGCCCCGGCTTCATCGCTGACTCGGAAGTGGGCCCTCAAACCCATGCCGACACGGAACGCCTGTGCGGTATGGTGGTACCTGACCGACATAGGCCCATGTGGACTAGGGATCCTCGATCGGCGTTAAGGGCCTCTTGACCGTAGAGGACTCTGACAGCCCTATGCCATTGGGCCCTTCAATCGCGCAGTGATCGTCGGACCCCAGTAGACCTCAGACTTTTTGGCCTCTCGAATACTGCCCTAGCCGACTCGGGGCATCCCTTGAAAATACAGCCCCCTGTAGTCGCTGTGGGGCCCTGTGAAATGTAAATCGCTGGCTCCTGCTTTGGCTCTGCTTGGAAAATGGGCGCGTAGCCTCGTTTGCTACGGAGGAGCCGACTGTGCGTACTGCTGGTTGTCTACAGAAATATGAGCCATTATCGATCTGGTGGGCCCATGATCAGCAGCAAGACCCTCTGCTGGCCATTGGAGTGCCTGGCCCCAACTGGCCGGGGCTCCTGAATGGGACCTTTGGCCGGCCTTTCGGGGCCTGCGGGCCTTCAAATCGGGCCTTAATCGTAGGTTCCAAGAGGCCCGAAGACCCTCTCCGTACCTAACAAGGGAGGGTGGTAATGCCCACTGTCTCCTCCTGTCCGCGCTACTGCTACAGCAAGCAAAGTATGGAGCGCGGCGCCGTTCGAAAATCATTTGGAAAAACCTTTCCAGGGGGGAGGAGGGGAGCAAACGGCA